TGACGTGCCCCAAAAGCAACAACTCATGCTTAAAAAAATCGCACTTAGAGCCTTTTGTTATGAGGCGGTTCTCCTGCATCCACTTAATTATTGCGTCGAGGTCGCGAAGGTGTTGTTCCCTTGTCTTGCTAAAGATCAAAATATCGTCCAAGTAGACGATAACACACTTGTCGAGGAGATCGCGAAATACCATGTTCATGTCAGTAGAAATGTTGAAGGCGCATTCGTGAGGACGAACGGCATCACAATGAACTCGTAGCTCCCGTAGCGGGTTCGAAACGCGGTCTTGTGATAGTCGTCAGCGAAGACCCGGATCTTGTGATAACCGCCACGCAAGTCGATTTTCGAAAAGTAGCGAGCACCACGAACTTGGTCGAGGAGATCGTCGGTGCGTGGGATGGGATAGCGAGTTTTAATTGTAACCCGGTTGAGCGCGCGATAGTCGATACACGTGCGAAGCCCGCCATCTTTTTTTTGGCGTGAACAGTATCGGGGTCGCGAAGGGAGATGTACTGGGTCGAATAAACCCCTTCTCCAACAGTCCATCAATTTGGCTTAGCAGCTCCTCGAGTTCCGGTTGGGTCAACCGCCACTGTGTACGAACAGTCGACTGCGCGCTAGGCTCCTGCTGGATTTTATGGTCCTCGGGGCGTTCGGGTGGCAGATTGTCGGGTACCGTCGAATCAGCTCTGCTAAATCAGGTGGTACAGCTGCACATAGCTGCACCCTCGGTGTTGGTTTCCAAGTCGCGCAAACAGGCGGCGAACAGCTGCGCGCCTCGGTTGTAATGGCGAGCTATAGTGATAGCTTTGACGCACGGGGCTTGGATATAGTCAGGTGTCCAAGCAGGCAGCTTAATTCGCCCCTCGTGCTTGCTCATGCTGCACGATCCCGTTCGATGATGGGGTTGTGCCGTCGCGGCCAATCACGTCCCAGCAGCATATTGTAGCCGTCCAGCGTCGTCGCGAGAAACTTCATGCTGAAGGCGAAATCGTTGCCGCATTCGATCCGCACCGTCCGTGTTTCTTCCAAATTCGCTAGAGGCGTCCCATCCACGAGGCGAGCGTCGATTCCGGGCAGACACATGTCAAGTTGTAGCTTGCATTTTTTTGTTGTCACCACGTTGAAGAGGCTATGGCTATCCCCGCCATCGACGAACATTTTCAGATGATTTTTTAACACTTTGCCGACGACCAGCACAGGGTGATCCACATGGTTATCCCCGTTATTTGGCCGAGTGCGATCAATTGCATGAATCGGAACCACGACTTGGTGGGGATGGTGGTGTTCGGGCGACAGAGCACATTCAGTAATGGGCCCGTCTGTTACGGACTGTTCCCATTTCCCGGCTCTTTCCCGTCGTTCCTCTTCGTTGGCATTCTCTCGGGGCAGTCTGCATATTTGTGACCCTGTGAATGGGCGGTCAAGTGCATGTACTCCGTTGATTGTGACCCGTTGGGTCTGGCCCCGAAAACGGTTTCCCTCCCGGAACCTGCCCTCGTAACAGCGCGTCTGTAGACTCTTCCAACCGTACAGCTTCCAGGAACAAAGTCGGGCGGCATCGGCGCACCTCGTACTGTATCTCGTATTTAAGGCCGCTGACGTATTTATCCAACTGCTCCGCCTCCGCCATGTCGTTCACTTGGTCGACGAGTGCCATGAATGACGCCGTGTAGTCTTCAACAAATGCCAACTGCGACCAGGCACGCATCTTCATGCGAGCTTGCTCCGAGGCGGATACGTGCTCAAAGCGATCCCGTAAGGCTGCGCCCCACTCCTTCCACGTGCGTATCTTGGTCACACTGAATATCGGTGCAGCCACTTGATAAACCGACGTTGAGGTCACGTCTGCCACATGTGTCACACCTGTCGGGGTCCCCGTGTCCAAGGTTCGTCGCCACCACTCCAGGGCAGCTCCTCTAAGAAGCGATACCGCGGAATTAATATGCGTGGCATCATCGTCAACGCGCGCTGCAGTAAAGAAAACCTCAATGTCGAACAACCACCCCTTCACTATAGTCGCCTTGTCGCTAGGGTTGAACGGGGGCGGGCTCGCAGGTTTGATCTTGATTGTAGTAACTGCAAGTGCCGCTGGTGCCGACGCTGCCGGCCGTTCGCTCTCGTCGTTGCTGCGTGCGGGCTCGCCACTTGTAACGGCGCCACTCGCTCCTTGGCTGGCGGTATCCCCTTCTTTGTTGGGCGACTCCTGACGCGCTTCACTGTCAGAATGTTGTATTTGTCTAGCCTGCAGTGGGGTACTCTATAGCGAGTGCTGCCCAATCTAGGGTTTCCTATATGTACTCAACTGCTTGCTAGTGCAACTCCTCTTTCTTGTTCTAAACTTTCTCCTCGTAATTCTGACATGGTTTCAGAGCATTTACGCTCCTGGCCTGTGGGCCCACCTACTGCTTCCGCTGCTCTACTGCTGTCGCGCGCCCCGGGCGCGCGACCCTTTCTTCCTGCCGCGCGCTCGGAGCGCGCGGCGTTTTTTTTTTTTCATCCCGCCGTGCGCTCGGGGCGTGCGGCGGTTTTCTGCCCGCCGTGCGCCCCGAGGCGCGCGGCGGTTTCCTGCTTCGCGCGGCGGTTTTCTGCCCGTCGTGGCGCCCTCGGGGACCTGCGCGCTGCCCCCCGTCGCCCGTCGCGGCGCCCTGGGGGCCCGCGCGTCGCCCTCCTCCCGTCGCCTCGTCGCGGCGCCCTGGGGGCCCGCGCGCCGGCCCCCCCCGTCGCCTCGTCGCGGCGCCTTGGGGGCCCGCGCGTCCCCCCCTCCCGTCGCCTCGTCGCGGCACCTTGGGGGCCCGCGCGTCGCCCCCTCCCGTCGCCTCGTCGCGACGCCTTGGGGGCCCGCGCGCCGCCCCCTCCCATCGCCTCGTCGCGGCGCCTTGGGGGCCCGCGCGCGGCCCCTCCCGTCGCCCGTCGAGCCGCCCTCGGGGGCCCGTGCGCGGCCCCCCTCCCGTCACCCGTCGTGGCGCCCTCGGGGGGCCCGCGCCCTGCTCCTTCGTGGCGCCCAGGAGACCCCCCCGCCACCTCCCTTTCCCTCCGTGAACCGCCCCTGCTGCTCCCCGCGCTCCTGCCTGCGTTGGGGTTTGGGGGTGGCGGGCATGGGGGTGGCCGGGGTGGGTAACCTGCAGCTCCTCCTCCTCCTCCGTCTCCCACTGCTGCAGCTGCCGCTGAGGGGGGTGGGTGTGTGGGAGCCGAGGGTTTAGGGTTTGAGGGGGGTGCCGTGGGAGTGGAGCTAGGGTTTCAGCAGGGGGTGTGTGAGAGGGGTGTGGGACGGTCGGGGGAGGTTGAGCGGAGGCTGCTGTCTTGTCGTCCGCAGCACCTGTAGTCCGGGGCGCTGTCCTGGTAGCCCAGAGAGCCTGCTGCGCCTGTCGCCCGTGGGTCTGTTGCTCCTGCCGCTCTTCGTAGCCGCCGAGCCAGTTACTCCAGTAGTCCGGGGCGCTGTCCCGGTAGCACTGTGCCAGCCGCTCCTGTAGCCCGTGTGTCTGCAGCTTCAGCCGTCGCCTCCTATCTCCTCTCATCTTACAGTCCCGCCTCCTCCTCCTCACTTGTCCTTTGTGAATGCCTCTAGCTTTGCTTGCAATTGTGAACCTGCTCTATGACTGTTTGCTCTGCTGATTACACCCCACTTTGGCTATGGGGGTGTGTCAGAATGTTGTATTTGTCTAGCCTGCAGTGGGGTACTCTATAGCGAGTGCAGCCCAATCTAGGGTTTCCTATATGTACTCAACTGCTTGCTAGTGCAACTCCTCTTTCTTGTTCTAAACTTTCTCCTCGTAATTCTGACATTCACCTCGCGCCCGACGTAGCTCGGTGTTTTCTTCATGTAGTGTTGTAACTTCTGTTGACAACGACTTCACTGTTGCTTGTAGTTCTGCCATTTGCGCAAGCATCTGGTTTAACTTCTCCTGGTCCATGAGTCGCACGCATTGTCTGGAGGGCAGTGGGGTATCCGTGGCCTTCAAGCAAGTGGAAAGCAAAAACTATCGGAGTCGGGCAGGTTAGAGTTAACGAACCTTGCAGCCAACCGTTTTGCAGTCCACTGTACCAGCCAATCCGTGCCTCCAAACTACCCTCGAAAAGCGGGATGAACTAGGAAAGTAGCTCTGGTACCTAGGAGGAAACCTCGGGGCTACGAGGTTGGGTGCAGGTTTGGCGATCAGAAATTCGAAGGCGACGCGGAGCAGCCTCGGAAGCGTAGGTGTCGGCCGAAACGTGCGAAGTCCGAAATGTCGGGGTTGTACGCCTAGCAGTCTACCCCGAAAGGGAAAATTCCTTAGATACGAGCTAACTATTGATAGGCTGACATCGAGGTTCGGGCTAGTCCCGAAGCATAGGCAGACTCGGCCAGGCCAGCGGTGCATGATTTGGTAAAAGAGTGCGCTCGAAGTTGGCGAAGCTCCGTTAGTAGTATAGTAACGGGCAAACAACGGTTGCTGCTGTACGCGATGTTGAAGAACGTGGTAAGGAATGCCGAAAATTTGCTTACACCTTATAGCAAGTGGATTTTTTTGGAGTTTGAAATAAGTCCGTAACGGGTGAAGTAATCACGAGGGTCGTTTGTCGCATTGCACGTTCCTCTAGTGTGGTCCGACTTGAATTCCACACCTGGGCGAAAAGCCCCGTAACCAGAAACCAACCACCCTGCCTGTAGCGAAAGCTATCCCACCAACTTTCGAGTATCGCATACTCAATCGACGATATGCCTCACCTGAAGTCTTTAATTTCGCTCACCAGGTGCTGCACTCCCATTTCCTACACTGGCCACCAGCGCTCGACACAACCAACGTCGAAGAGCAAAGAAGAAAGGAGGCGGGCATTGACGGGAGAAGCAAGAGAGCAGATTGGCGAATTACTGCTGAACGCTGGCAACACTGCACTTAGCACTCCTGGAATTCGTCCTACTTCAGCGTAGACTGATGCTGTTTCAGTTTCCCCCTCACCGCAGCGTCGGTCTCCGTCATTAACGCGAATCCCTTCACAGAATCTTCACATTCCAAGGAATGGGGTTCGCCGGAGTCGCGTTTCAGTCGCGCGCGGCAGCGCTGGCGGAGCTGCAGCACTGCCCGCAGTTCCACGACGCAATTCTGACGCTCCCCGACGGCGCCATGTTCTCCGCGCCCGCGTGCCTCCTCTACGCGCGCAGCAAGTGGTTCCGCCGCGCGTGGGAGGACGCGCCGGGGAGCGGCTTCGGGAAGTGCGTGGAGATCACGATTCCGCCTGTGCCCGGCGGAACGGATGCGTTCGAGAGCATTCTACAGTACTGCTACGGGCTGCCTGTTAACGCGGATGCTACTAACGCGTTGCAGCTGCTGTGCTGCGCAGCGTTCTTCGAGATGTGTGAGGGGAGCGAGGAGGATTCGTTGCAGCGACAGGCGTGGAGGTACATTAACGAGTATGTTCTTAACGAGTGGGAGGACAGCCTGCGGCTGCTGGAGACAGTAGCGAGGGACGAGCTTGTAATGAGGGAGGCGCTGAAGCTGGACCTCCCGCTGCACGCGTCAGCATGCGTGGCAGGCACGTGCACCTCCCCGTCCACCCACACCCGCACGCCTGCTCACTCTATTCGCTTCCCCCCACCACCCCTCTCGCCCTCCCCTTCCCGTCCCGCCTCCCCCTTTCCCCCCTCACTCGTCTCTGCGCTTTACCCCCTTCATCTTTTCATGCAGTGAGCGCTCTTCCCACGCTCTGCAACCACCCCCTTCTCGCTTTGATCGCCTGTCTGCCACCCCATCACCACGTGATACCTGTTCCCTCGCGCAGTCGTGCTTATGTTTCCCCTACATCATTCCTACACCACCCCCACACCACCCCTGCACCACCCCCGCGCCACCCCACCACACCACTCACCCACGAGCAGACCATCTGAGCGCCATGCTGTCGGGCCCCTTCGACGACCCCACGCGCATGGCGGCGCTGCACCACCTGCTGGCGCGCCTGGCGGCCCTGCCCGCGCCCGTGCTGTCATGCGTGCTGCAGGCGTGCCGGCAGGCCAGTGTGAGCTTCGTGCGCATCGGCAACTACCTCGCCGCCCACTCCCACTCCTGCCTCTTCCAACACATCCCCTCCCTCGCTGCCGCTGCCGCCGCTGCCGCCGCTGCTGCTGCTGCTGCTGCTGCTGCTGCTGCTGCTGCTGCTGCTGCTGCTGCTGCTGCTGCTGCTGGTGATGTTGCAGCAGAAAAAGAGGCAGCCGCAGCAGGGGCAGGGTCAGGATCAGGAGGTGGGGAAGCAGCTTCGTCGGCTGGGCGTTCAAGTAGTGGTGGTGCCGAGAGGAGGGTGGCGAGCGGAGGGGGAGGGGGATACAAGGTGGTGTGTGGCGAGGAGGCAGCGGAGGAGGCAGAGGAGAGGGAGGAGGTGGGGCGGGCGATGCTGTTTGAGTATGCGTGCAGTGAGGCGCTGGAACATGCTGCAGCACTGCAGGAGCTGCACCACCGCCCGCCAGCAGCAGCAGCCGCAGCGGGAGGAGGAGGCGTGGGCGTGGAAGGCGGGGCATCAGCGGCAGCGGCAGCACAGCAGCAGCAGGCGTTGAGGCGGCAGCAGCAGGGGGGGCTGAGGTCCAGCACGCGCTACATGCCGTCAGTGCAGTACCTCATCGTGCTGCTCAAGCACTGTGTCACTCTACAGGAAGGTCATGCACTCACGGATGCTCACGGGCAGGGGCAGGCCGGTCAAGTGGACGGTGTTGGTAAGACGAGAAGCTCAGCCTCGTTACAAGGGGACTCGATACAAGGAAAAGAAGGGCCGAGACATGCGGTGAACAGCAAGGGCGTTCAAAGGGCATCGTCCGTGCAGCGTGTGGGAGGCAGGGGCGTGAGGGGGGGTGCAGGCGCTGTGAGCACGGGGCTGAGGGAAACCAAGAGCGACAGCGACGTGGCCTCCAGTGAGCGCGCGAGTGCGGGCAGCAAGGGCGAGGCCATGGGGGAGAGCGTGCGAGCGGGCGTGGGGCGGCGCAAGGAGCTGCTGTTCACACGGCTGGCGCACCGCCTGACGGCCATGCCCACGGCGCTGTCCCTGGCGGACCTCGTCTTCCTCGGCCCCGCCACCAGCCTGCTGCTCCTCCACTCCCTCCGCGACGCCTCCGTCTCCGCTGCCCCGCACCCCGCCCTCCCACCCCTGCCCCCCCATGCTGGAGGAGCCCTGCCCCCGCTGCCATCGCACCCACAGCCGGCGCCCACCAGCACCACTAATGGCACTAGCACCAGCATCACCAGCAGCGGCGGCAGCGGGCGGCGTGTGCCTGTGCGGGTGGTGGGATCCCCTGCAGCGGCGCTGGGTGGCGATCTGGTGTGCGACTACGTGCACTACCTGGCAGCGCGCATGACGCACCAATCACAGCACCACACGTGGCTGCCCTTCCTGCGCCTCTGCCCCGCATGGCCCGGCCTCTCCAGCTTTCTCATCGACCTCATTGCTCTTCTGAACCTGCTCTTCCCCGACTGCCGCCTCCTCCCCCCCGTGCCCGAGCTCTGGAGCATGGTGGACGTCAGCGCCCTCTCTGATGAAAAGCTCGCTCTTGCTGGCAAGATGTGCTGCGAGGAGGGGGGTCAGGGCGGAGATGGGGGTGGGGATGGTGGGCAGAGGGTTGGCGGGTGGGGAGGGGGGTGGGGTGGGAAAGGGAGGGAGCAGGGGCGGGGGTGGTGGAGCGAGGGGAGGGTGCTGGCGCAGCAGGTGGAGAGGGAGCAGAGGGCGAGGGGTGTAAGGGCGGAGGGGGAGAGGGGGAGGGAGGGGGAGAGGGGGAGGGAAGAGGGGATGCGGAGGGAGGTGGAGAGGGAGCGGCGGGGGCGGCAGGAGAGGGCACTGCAGCAGGCGGCGCTGGAGGTGGAGAGTGTGCGCGCTGCCAGCACCCGCCTTGCGCTGGAAACCGCCCAGGTGAGCGTGTTGGGGTGAGCGTATTAAGTCCCGTGGAGGAGTAGGGTGGGTGGCGCAGTGGATGCAAGTGTATGGAAGGGAGGTGTGATTCGCCCGACCAGGACGTGGCATGAGACCCATGCCTGTGGGAAACCTTCTATCCGAGGGGCCTGTGTCCCGGATCACACCTCCACACTGCAACCGTCCCCTTCTCCCCTCCCACCCCACTTGCCTGAGAGCGTGACATCAAATCAAGCGCATGCCCCTGGGAGACGAAACGCTCTAGCGAAAGGGCCAGGAGGCGACCCTGCCCGGCACCATACGTTCCAGCAACAACCTCCCCTCCTCCCCCCCGATGTAACCCCATCGTATCGCACCCATGCCCCTGAGAGTCCGTCCACCTGTGGAACCTGGACACCGGTGTCTTACTCCCCTCGCCCTATCAACTCTCTCGCCCTCGCCTTCCGCCTTCCCACCCTCCCACCCAACCCCCATGCCTTCCTTCCCCCACCAGGGCATGGCATCACACCCATGCCCCTGGGAGACGCTACAGCAGCGTGGGCTGGAGGCGGACATGGTGGTGGACATCGATGGGGTCACATGGCCGCTGCACCGCCACGTGCTGCTCCCGCACTGCCCCCTCATCCACTCCCTCCTCCCTGCCGCTGCTGCCGCCGCCACTGCCAGCGCGCCTGAGGACGACCACGACTTGATGCCGCTGACCCCCCTGGCGCTGGGCACGGGGCTGCCCATCGTGGCGCTCACCGGCTTCCCCGGGGGTCCGCGCGCCTTCAGCATCATCGCCCGCTGGTGCTACGGCTCGCGCCCCAACCTCTCGCCCAGCCAGGCCGCTGCTGTGATCTTTGCTGCGCGCTTCCTCGGTGGGTTCCACTCCTTCCGTACCTTTCTCGCTGTTCTTTTTGCGTCCTCATACATTTGTTTCTGTTTCTGTTGTGTTTCCCACAGCTTCATCTCCATGCCTCAACTGCTTCTTGAGCGATAGCATCATCATGGGTCATACCTGCATGCCATTCTCTCCCTCCGCCCACCCTCCTCTGCATCCCTGCGCCACGCCCCCCCATCCGCCCATGGTGGGTGCGCACAGTGAGGAGGGGGAGCCTTGCACAAAGGTGCCGCCGATACTGCTCACACACACTTGAACCTCGTTTCCCCACCTTTCCACTCTCTTTTTCCGACCTTCGGCTCTGCTCACCCTGCATCCTGGGCGGGCAGGCATGGACGACCGCGGCAGTGACGCATTGATCCCGGTGGCGGTGCGGGCGGTGAAGGGCGGGTTGGCGGAGGGGTGGCAGGCGTGTTTTGACATCCTGGAGCGCTGCTACCATGACCAGGTGCTGGATGCGCTGGTGGTGGAGTTCAGCCTCAACCGCCACTTCGTTGACTCCGCCTGCAGTGAGTGCTGCTGTGGGGGCGTGGAAATGCGTGCAGTGAGTGCTGCTGTGGGGGCGTGGAAATGCGTGCAGTGAGTGCTGCTGTGGGGGCGTGGAAATGCGTGCAGTGAGTGCTGCTGTGGGGGCGTGGAAATGCGTGCAGTGAGTGCTGCTGTGGGGGCGTGGAAATGCGTGCAGTGAGTGGTGAGGGCTCGCCTAGAGGGTGCTGGCCGTGGTGCTGCGGAATCGGGTGGTGAGGGATTGCTTGTGGGACAGTGCTCCCCTTGCCTTGGGGACATGGAATGGAATCGCTCTTGGTGCTTGGGCTGGGGGGTTACTAGGGGCGGCTGGTTCGGACCAGGGCCTCTCCCATGGACCTTGCGCGTCCATGGGTACTTGCCGTGTGAGGGATGCAATCTCTGACTCGTTATGTGTCAGTCGTGTTACTGCTTCGCTATCATCTCCCCTCTGCCCATCGACTCGACCACTCTTCTCCAAGCGCCCTTCCCAAGCCCCCCCCATCCTCCTCCCTCCCCCCCTCCCCCCACACTCTCTCCATTGCCACCGAGTTTTGAGCTCGAGTTATGTGTATCCCCGCCAATCATTCCCCCACCCACGTTCACCCATATCGAAGGTCGAGTCCCTCTCACCGCTCTTCTCCCCTCACCGCACCCCCACCACCCGCCACAGGCACCATACTGAAGCTGGAGTCGAAGCTGGTGGGGGACGGGCGGTGGGGCAACGACGACTGGGCCACGGTGAACCGGCTGTTGGAGGGCATGAGCAAGCTGCCGCCCGACATCAGCCGCCGCGTGGTGCAGCAGCTGTGGGACCTGCGCTGCTCCCTCTGGGCCTCCGTGTGCCCCGCGCCCTGCTCTCACTCCAACCCCGGGGACAAGGACGAGCACCCGGGCATCAGGGCCATGGCGACGGTGGGGAGCTTCCTGCTGGCCATCACTCTGCTGAGTAAGATGGAGTGGCGGAAGCAGCAGGAGGAAGAGGAGGAGAAGAAGGCGAAGAAAGGTGGGCAAGGATTGGCTGGTAGCAGCAGCAGCAGCCCAGCCCAAGCAGGGAATTCTCCATCGGCCCAGGCGCCCAGCAGCGGCAGCAGCAGGGTGCGGGGCCGCGCACAGCCGCCATACGACAACATTCTCTGGATGCTGCGAGTGCTCAAGCTCTTCATCTCGCCGCCCTTCGACCGCCCCATCCTGCTCGTGCTCAGCAACAACATGCCTCTCCTGGAAGTGCAGCACCTGCACTTCCTCGACCTCCCCTCCTGTCTCGCCCTCCTCACACTCGTCTCCGCCGCCCCCCGCCAAGACTCCAACCTCGTCGCCGCCGCAGACCTCCTCGACGCGTACCTCACAACAGCGGGCACCAAGCGCAACCCGCCGCTCAGCCCGGAGGATTTCCGCGCGCTCGTCACTCGCCTGCCCCCGGAGGCACGGCCGACGCACGACGGGGTGTTTGAGGCGGTGTGTGCGTTCGCGGAGGCGGACCCGCGCCCCACCACGTGGAACCTGCTCGCGCTCGTCGACTGCGCCCGCCTCACCCCGCGCTGTCTGCGCCTCGCGGCGTCGGCGGCGGCGTCGATGGAGTTTGGGCAGTCGGCCGTGGCGGGGTTTTGGTTGTTCCTTGTGTCGCTCTTGCGCGCTCTCATGTATGAAGGTTAGGTTGGTAGGAATATTGCCATGGCTTTTCTTATATTATGGTATTTTTAGTGCAGTTTCTGGGTTTTAAATCGCACAAACACGAGCGAAAGGCTTCACCAGCTTGCTTCTAGCATTATTTGCTGATTAATAGTATAGGTTCCCATAATCAAATACCTGTAGCAACCATTTTTACCGAGACTTGCACACACTGCTGATGAGCCAAGTTTGAAGGCACTCGCATGCTTCATGCTTCGCGTCGCGTCTCGTGCATACTGTCGAGTTGAGAGCACGCGGCCACGATTCAAGGAGCAGCGTGCGCGCGAGTTGCTTGCCGGTGAGAGTTCTCAGAAGTGAGACAAGGCGAAGGCGAAGGCGAAGGCCACTCGGTTGGCGCCACCATCCCGGCCTCGCGCTGTGCCCACCGCATTCCAACACTTCCAAAAGAAATGTAGCGCTTACCAGACGCCGTGTAATAGGCCAGGCTGACGTGGAGAGGCGCGTCTTCGCGCGCAGGGTGACAGGTGGTGTGGCCGCGGGATGGCGGGGCTCGGCGACGACGACGAATGGGACGATGACGTTCCGCTTGGCGGTTCTTTCCGCGATCCCGCCACAACCCCCGCGCATTCCGCCGCGCGGATTCCTCCCACAGGGTTCAACGCAGGCGGAAGAGGCGTTGGCGGAAGGGGGGCTGGCGGAAGGGGGAGCATGGACGGCGCGCGGGGGCAAGGTAGGTTCCGCGGAATGCTTCCCGCTATTCCGCCGAATCCGCTTCAGGGGGGATCGCCGTTTCCCCGTCCACCTGCTGGTTCCGGCAGCACGGGCCACTCAAGCCAACGCGCCCCCCCTGCCCATCCTGCCGGCCATGCTGATAAAATTAGGGTTGGGGGAATGGACGAGTATAGGGGTGGCCTAGGGGGATTAAGCGGGTTGGTGGGCGGGGGGGAACGGAGAGGGGATGGCAGGGTAGGCGGGAGAGCTGTTGACGTGGGCGGAGGCTTGCCAGGTGATTGGGAGGGGGAGCAGCAGGAAAAACGCTATAATTCGTTTCATCAGCAGCAGCAGCAGCAGCAGTCAGAGTATATGGAGGAGGGCGAGGAGGAGGAAGGGGAAGAGGCGGAGGGGGAAGGGGGGGACGAGTCCGAGGAGGATGTTCCGCTCAACCAGCGCAGGGGGGGCGCGCAGCACAGCGCGGAGGGAGGCGAGGGGGGGGCGCTGGCCGGCAGAGGCGCAGCGGGGGGAGTGCCTGCTCCAAGGGGGGGCGCTGGGCGCGGGAGGGGGCGGGGAAGAGGACGAGGAGGGGGAAGAGGGGGCTTGGGGGGAAGGGGAGGCTGGGAGAGCTTGGGGGGCGCGGCTGTTGCTCCCCTAAAGCGCAAGTCGAGTGGCCCGCTGCCTCCCCCGCCACACCCATCCGTGCGCCAGCAGCAGGGGCTTCTTGAAAACGAGGATGCTTATAACGGAGATGGAGTGCACGCAGGTGACTCTATAGCGAGTGAAAGCGCCCCTGGCAGGCACTCCGGCAGCCCGGGGAAGGCGCTGGGGAGAGGACGGGGGCGGGGCAGGGGCAGGGGGAGGGGCAGGCTTGGGGGAAGGCCAGTGGAGGAGGGGGATGCGGGAGAACAAGCAGGAGATTTGGGGGGAGAGGGAGGGAGTGACCTGCTTGGGGGGAGTGGTGTTCTGTCCCCTGGGCGAGGCAGGGGGAGGGGGCGGGGGAGGGGAAGGGGAAGGGGAGGAGGGCGGGGGAGGGCAGAGAGCGTTGCAGGAAAAGAGGCGAGTGAGGAGGAAATAGGGGTGAGCGGTGAGTGGGAGGAAGGGGAGGGGTATGGGCGCAGAGGGGAGGACGCGTATGGAGACAGGCATGGCGGGCGGTATAACGAGTCTCCAGCGGTGGAGAGAGAGGAGGTTCCAGGGCGGCTGCGCCTGACTGAGGAGGCGCACTCGCCCTTCCCCCTGCTGCCCCCGCCCCCCACCCCTCCTGCTGCAGAACCAGCAGCAGAGACAGGCACAGGCCGCGGGCACACCCTAAAGCAGCAGCGGCAGGAAGAGGTGCAGCAGGAGGGGCAGGAGCAGAAGGGCAAGGGGGCATGCGACACGGCTTCAAGTCTGGCTGCTCGCTTCGCTGCAGCCATGAGCGCCGCTGCTGCTGGGGAGGGGTCGCTGGCGGACGAGGCAGCTGCCATTGCTGCTGCTCTGCCTGCTCCACGCGTGTGGGACCAGACGAGCCTGGACAGGATCTCGACCGTTGATCGCGAGGAGAGGATCCGACGGCTGGAGTCGCAGTGCATGGACGAGTGTGTGCAGCTGTGCCGCGACCTCATCGTGCGCCAACGCCTCTGGCACCAGGTGGGGCAGGGGTGGGGGGGGAGGGGTAGGGCCTGTGGCACCAGGTGAGAATGGGGGGGAGGGGTAGGGCCTGTGGCACCAGGTGGGGAAGAGGGGAAGAGAGGGGGGGGCAGCGCCTCTGGCACCAGGTGGGGGTTGGGGTTGAAGAGGGTAAGGCGCGGGTAGGGGTGGGGATGGGTTGGGGGTGGTGTAGCGGAAGATGGTTTTGGGGCACGATGTGGTGTTGGGAGCTCACTGCTCCTTGCAGTTGGCGCACTGCTGCCACTCGTGCCGTTCTGCTGCCCCCATCCCTGTGTCCAAGCACCCTCAACAATGACTCCGCCTTCCTCTCCCGTCCACACCACCCTTTCGCCTCCTTGCCACTCGCCACCCCCCTGTGCCCTCTCCTCCCTGCCCTCTGCCTCTGCCCCCTCCCCCTTTGCCCTACACCATGCGTGCGGTGCATCACGTGCGCGGCCCCCATAACACGGCAGGACATAGTGGATGCGGGCAAGCCGCTGCCACCCGTCAAGCTCTTCCCCATTGTGCCTCCCCTCGACCTTCTCGGTACGTGCCTGTCTCTTCCTGCCTGCATGCGCTGCTCCCTCCTCCTGCCGCACTCACAAGCAGCCGGGACAAGGGACGAGCTCCGCCCTCCTCTGTCTCTCCCTCCCCTCACCATCACGCCTCTCCCACCACACCCTGCCTGCATTTTCCCACCCCCGTGCCCCCTCCCTCGCTGCTCCCTCACACTGCGCGTGCCTTTCCCTGCCTGCACCTCCTTCAAGCAGCCTTCCCCCTCCCCTCACCCCCCTCCCCGTGTCATCCTCCCCGCACCCCCCTCCCCGTGTCATCCTCCCCGCACCCCCCTCCCCGTGTCATCCTCCCCGCACCCCCCTCGCCCTGCCCCCACACCGCAGACTCCGTGAGCCCGCCTGCGCTCCCTCGCCTCCACTTCGACTCGCTCCTCCCGCTCCTCCCCCCCGCCATGCAACTTGCTGCGGGGGCAACCGCGGCTGCTGGTGCTCCTGGTGGTGGGGGGAGGGGAGTGAAAGGGGAGGCAGGGGCAGGTGTGGGGGCGGGCAGTACAGGGGGGCGGGGAGGGCGGGGCAGAGGAGGGCGAGGGAGAGGGCGAGGGGGGAGGGGAATGAAGCCGGCGGGCTGGGATGCTGAGCCTTCCGCTGCCGCGTGTGGTGGTGGCGAGTCAGCAGGAGGGGGGGCGGTGGTGGCGGTTTCAAGGGCGAAGCCAGAGGCGGGCGACACGGAGTGGGAGGAGGATGCACCATTGGGGAGGCAGCAGCAGCAGGGGGGGGTGAAGAGGCCGCTGGGGCAGCACGGAGGAGCTCCTGTGGTGGCTCGGCCGAAGCAGATGGTTCGGCGGATGCTGGTGTGGCGGGCGAATGAGCGCGAGGCACTGAGAAAGGCCCTGCTCGCGTTCGGGTTGACCCGACCCTCCATGGTAAGCAAGGGGGAGGGAAGAAAGGAGTGGGGGCTTGTGCGTGCTGTGAGTGGTCGGTCCCAGTCACCGCACCACCACGCCCTTCCGCCTCCGTTCTGCCGCCAACACCCTCCGCCTTCCACCCTCTCCTCTCCGCTCTCCCTCACACACCCTGCACCTCGTGCCCTCCCCCCACCTGTGCCGCAGCATTCAGGCCACCCTCCACCGCCACCACCATGCCATACCGCACTGCACTCCTCTCCACGCCACCCCCCCTCCCTCTTTCTTTCCCTCCCTCCCTCCCCCCTCCCTCGCTCGCTCTCCACGTATCTCTCCCCTCCGTGCGCTCCCCATGCGATCAGGTGCAGAGCAGCATGCGGGAGAGCATGAGGAGTGAGCGGCATGGGGCGGGGGACGTGGTGGACGCCACGTGCCACTTCCTGCGCGCGTGCTCAACGCTGCAGCCCCCCCACGCCCTCGACCCGCGCGACCTCGCGTGGGCGCAGCGCCGCCTCTCCCACCTCGCCTCCCTCGCCCACGTGCCCCTGGGCGTGCCGGGGGACACTATGGGGAACGAGGGGGGTGATGACGGGGGTGATGGTGAGGGAGGGGGAGAAGCAGCGGGAGGGGGAGCGGGAGGGGACGGCATAGCGCGGCGGGTGGGGTGGTGGGAGCGGCTGCCGGTGGCGAGCTGTGCGCGCACGTGGCTGCGCCGCCTGCGCCTGCTGGAGCAGCTCGTGCGTGGGGGGGAGGGGGGGGTGTGGGTCAGTACGTGGGGCAGGGGGCGGGTGGTATGGGGCGGGTGGTACGGGGGCGGGTGGTATGGGTGACTTTCATCTCTCTTGTAATGTCATGTCTCTCCCGCCTCTGTTGTCCCTCCTCTTTCCCCCATCAGCATCAGTCATTGGGCTTTTGCAACAAGCAGCCAACCCCCTCCCTCCCTTTCCCCTCTCTCCCGTCCTCCGTTCCTCTCCTTCTCTTCCTCCCTTTGGGGGCCCCGCCCCCCAATGGTGGTGGGACCTCAGTACGAGGTGCTGTGCTTGATGACACACAGCACGGGCTGTTGAAAATTCTCACAAGTCACGGACCAACCATCCCTCTCCCATCCTCCCATGCGTCCCCCCCTGCCCCCGCCAGCACGAGGTGCTGGGCTTCATGGCGCGCGGCACGGGGTTCGCCCTCGCATGCCACCACGTGGCGGCGCTCACAGACGCCACGCTGCGCCACTAACCCCCCCTCTTCCCCCCCCCACCCCTCCCCCCCCCCCCCCGCAGCACGAGGTGCTGGGATTCATGGCGCGCAGCAGCGGCTTTGCCATGGCATGCCACCACGTGGCGGCGCTCACCGACGCCACGCTGCCCGCCCATTGGTGGACGCACGACGCTGACCTGGCGCTGCTGCTGGGCGTGGCGGCGCACGGGTACGGCGCGTACGAGGCCGTGTATGGGGATGCCCACCTGGGGAAGTACATTCGCAAGCCCCGGGGGGACAGGGGGGAGGGGGGGGAGGGTGGGGAGAAGGGGGAGAAGGGGGAGCAGGAGGGGGGGGCGGGCGAGGGGGAGGGGTGGTTGGACGCGTACACGTTGACGCGGCGGCTGAAGCGCCTCATCGAGCATCTCGTGCGCATCAAGCGAACGGTGCGCTGCCCTCTCTGCCCCTCAGCCGCTGCGCTTTCCCTCCCCCTCTCTGCCTTGCCCACTAGCCCATCCGCCAGGCCTCTGTCTGTGATGCCACCCACCAGCCCATCCCGCCCTCACCGCCACCCTTTCAACCCCTATCCCATCTGGTCCATGTTAGAGCTGAGCTTGAACCGATGCATTAGTAATGAGCTCAAAACTCTTCAAGTACATACGAAATGAGCAAGGAATGGATGAGGAGGAATCGGGGGTAATCCCAAGGCAATCTCCAATTGGTGGGTTGGAGATTGCTTGGAGATCACATTTGGGTTTGGTTGGGATGTGGGTGTACACCCAACCAAACACAAAGTGCAACCTACACTACGCTAGGATATAGAAGTACAAATACAAAAGTTGAGATTGAGGTGTAGTTAACTGTCCACTCTTCCCCCCTTGTCATGGCGCCACCCTTTCCTTTCCTCCACTCTTCCCCCCCATCTCTCGACCCCCTTCCCCCTCTCTCCCCCTTTCCTCCCCCCCCTCCCTCTCCTCAGCTGGCCAAAAAGCCGCAGCCTGCGCCCGCCCTAGTGGGACCTCCCCCCGCCTTCACCCCCGCCCACTTCAAGCGCGCTCTCCCACCCGCCTCCGATGCCTGGGCTGCCCCCGGTGCCGCCGCCGCTGCTGCTGCCCCTGGTGCTGCTTCCCTAGCTGGTGGTGATGGCGGGGAAGGAGGGGGAATTGGGGCAAAATGGGCCACAAGGGGGAGAGGGAGGTTAGGCAGGGGAAGGGGAGTGGGAAGAGGGGGGAGAGGAGGGCGGGGGGGTGAGGGGCACGGAATGGGGAAGGGAAGAGGAGGAGGGAGAGGAAGAGGGGGGGAAGCAGGAGGAGCGTATGAGGAATACGGGGGGGATGAGGAGGAGCAGAGGGGAGGGGAGGGGGAACACGGTGAGGAATATGGGGAAGAGGGCGATGAGGGCGTGGGGGAGGAGGAGTGGAACGAGGATGCCCCTGTAGGGCGCGGTGGGGGGCGTGGGGAGGGCGGGCGAGGCGGTGCGGAGAGAGGGGGGGGGGCAAGGGGGCGGGGAAGGGGGCGCGGCAGGGGACGGGGAGGAGGGAGAGGCGGGGCAGCGGGTGGAGGGGCAGGCGCCGCTGCTGATGGGATTGGAGGGGGTGGAAGGGGGAGGGGGAGAGGAGGGCGGGGGCGTGGGGGCGCGAGGGGGGGCGGAAGAGGTGCAGGAGCGGTGGAGATGGGTGTTGGAGGGGGGGAGAGAGAGGGGAAGGGCGCTAGGGGAGGGGGCGGGGAGGGCAAGGAGATGGAGTGGGAGGGGCAGGCGGGGGAGGGGGGTGAGGAAGCAGAGGGCGCGCAGGGTGGGCGCGCACGGGCGCATGGGGCAGGGCGGGGGCACGGACATGGGCAAGGGCATGCAGGAGAGGGGCGAGGGGAAGGGAACAAGGCAGCACAGGGGGGGGTGGACGCGGTGTGGAGCCGCAAGGAGAAGCTGGAGTTGCTGCGCCTGCTCATGCTGTGGGGGCTGCCCGCTGTGAGTGGCTCTTTGCTCTTGCAAAGCGTGCAAATCCATCAATGAAGATGTGGTGTGATGCTTTACACGATGCAAAATGCTGTTAATGGTACAGCTCTTTGAATGAGAGTGGGCTTGTTTTGTGCTTCAACCCAACCATCCTATCTGTACCTCCCCTCACGCGTGCAGGAGCAGCAGCAGGGCAGCAGCAGCAGCGGTAGCAGCAGTGTGAGCTGGCAGCAGCTGCGGGACCACTCGCACGTGCCGTCCGTGCTCGCCAGGTCAGCAGCATCCGTGGCGGGGTGCTTCGATGACGTCATCGCTGAGATGCAGCGCCGCCTGCAGGGCCTCCCTGCCTCCTCGCCCTCCACCCCCGCCACCGCGCCTGGCGCTGCTGGCTGCGCTGCTTCTAGCTCTGGCTTGGCAGCAGCAGCAGGAGGAGAGGAAGGAGAGGAAGGAGGGGAAGGCGAGGAAGGGGATGGTGGGGGCGTGGCGGGCAAGAGGACATTTGCGCTGGGGGAAGGCCACCCTGCCTCCTGCCCGGTAATGTGATATGGCGCACCATCTGCCATGTGGCGCACCATATGCCATGTGGCGCACCATCTGCCATGTGGCGCACCATCTGCCATGTGGCGCACCATCTGCCATGTGGCGCACCATCTGCCATGTGGCGCACCATCTGCCATGTGGCGCACCATCTGCCATGTGTGCATCCCACTGCTCCCTTCGTATTCCATTTTCCAGCACTCCTCATGCACACATGCCACCACAGCACTCCTCATGCACACATGCCACCACAGCACTCCTCATACACACATGCCACCACAGCACTCCTCATACACACATGCCACCACAGCACTCCTCATGCACACATGCCACCACAGCACTCCTCATGCACACATGCCACCACAGCACTCCTCATACACACATGCCACCACAGCACTCCTCATACACACATGCCACCACAGCACTCCTCATACACACATGCCACCACAGCACTCCTCATACACACATGCCACCACAGCACTCCTCATACACACATGCCACCACAGCACTCCTCATACACACATGCCACCACAGCACTCCTCATACACACATGCCACCACAGCACTCCTCATACACACATGCCACCACAGCACTCCTCATGCACACATGCCACCACAGCACTCCTCATGCACACATGCCACCACAGCACTCCTCATACACACATGCCACCACAGCACTCCTCATACACACATGCCACCACAGCACTCCTCATACACACATGCCACCACAGCACTCCTCATACACACATGCCACCACAGCACTCCTCATACACACATGCCACCACAGCACTCCTCATACACACATGCCACCACAGCACTCCTCATACACACATGCCACCACAGCACTCCTCATGCACACATGCCACCACAGCACTCCTCATGCACACATGCCACCACAGCACTCCTCATGCACACATGCCACCACAGCACTCCTCATGCACACATGCCACCACAGCACTCCTCATGCACACATGCCACCACAGCACTCCTCATGCACACATGCCACCACAGCACTCCTCATACACACATGCCACCACAGCACTCCTCATACACACATGCCACCACAGCACTCCTCATACACACATGCCACCACAGCACTCCTCATACACACATGCCACCACAGCACTCCTCATACACACATGCCACCACAGCACTCCTCATACACACATGCCACCACAGCACTCCTCATGCACACATGCCACCACAGCACTCCTCATGCACACATGCCACCACAGCACTCCTCATGCACACATGCCACCACAGCACTCCTCATACACACATGCCACCACAGCACTCCTCATGCACACATGCCACCACAGCACTCCTCATACACACATGCCACCACAGCACTCCTCATACACACATGCCACCACAGCACTCCTCATACACACATGCCACCACAGCACTCCTCATACACACATGCCACCACAGCACTCCTCATGCACACATGCCACCACAGCACTCCTCATGCACACATGCCACCACAGCACTCCTCATACACACATGCCACCACAGCACTCCTCATGCACACATGCCACCACAGCACTCCTCATACACACATGCCACCACAGCACTCCTCATGCACACATGCCACCACAGCACTCCTCATGCACACATGCCACCACAGCACTCCTCATACACACATGCCACCACAGCACTCCTCATGCACACATGCCACCACAGCACTCCTCATGCACACATGCCACCACAGCACTCCTCATGCACACATGCCACCACAGCACTCCTCATGCACACATGCCACCACAGCACTCCTCATACACACATGCCACCACAGCACTCCTCATACACACATGCCACCACAGCACTCCTCATACACACATGCCACCACAGCACTCCTCATGCACACATGCCACCACAGCACTCCTCATGCACACATGCCACCACAGCACTCCTCATGCACACATGCCACCACAGCACTCCTCATGCACACATGCCACCACAGCACTCCTCATGCACACATGCCACCACAGCACTCCTCATACACACATGCCACCACAGCACTCCTCATGCACACATGCCACCACAGCACTCCTCATACACACATGCCACCACACTCCTCATGCACACATGCCACCACAGCACTCCTCATGCACACATGCCACCACAGCACTCCTCATGCACACATGCCACCACAGCACTCCTCATGCACACATGCCACCACAGCACTCCTCATGCACACATGCCACCACAGCACTCCTCATGCACACATGCCACCACAGCACTCCTCATGCACACATGCCACCACAGCACTCCTCATGCACACATGCCACCACAGCACTCCTCATACACACATGCCACCACAGCACTCCTCATGCACACATGCCACCACAGCACTCCTCATGCACACATGCCACCACAGCACTCCTCATGCACACATGCCACCACAGCACTCCTCATGCACACATGCCACCACAGCACTCCTCATGCACACATGCCACCACAGCACTCCTCATGCACACATGCCACCACAGCACTCCTCATGCACACATGCCACCACAGCACTCCTCATGCACACATGCCACCACAGCACTCCTCATACACACATGCCACCACAGCACTCCTCATGCACACATGCCACCACAGCACTCCTCATACACACATGCCACCACAGCACTCCTCATGCACACATGCCACCACAGCACTCCTCATGCACACATGCCACCACAGCACTCCTCATACACACATGCCACCACAGCACTCCTCATACACACATGCCACCACAGCACTCCTCATACACACATGCCACCACAGCACTCCTCATACACACATGCCACCACAGCACTCCTCATACACACATGCCACCACAGCACTCCTCATACACACATGCCACCACAGCACTCCTCATGCACACATGCCACCACAGCACTCCTCATGCACACATACCACCACAGCACTCCTCATGCACACATGCCACCACAGCACTCCTCATGCACACATGCCACCACAGCACTCCTCATGCACACATGCCACCACAGCACTCCTCATGCACACATGCCACCACAGCACTCCTCATGCACACATGCCACCACAGCACTCCTCATGCACACATGCCACCACAGCACTCCTCATGCACACATGCCACCACAGCACTCCTCATGCACACATGCCACCACAGCACTCCTCATACACACATGCCACCACAGCACTCCTCATGCACACATGCCACCACAGCACTCCTCATGCACACATGCCACCACAGCACTCCTCATACACACATGCCACCACAGCACTCCTCATGCACACATGCCACCACAGCACTCCTCATGCACACATGCCACCACAGCACTCCTCATACACACATGCCACCACAGCACTCCTCATGCACACATGCCACCACAGCACTCCTCATGCACACATGCCACCACAGCACTCCTCATACACACATGCCACCACAGCACTCCTCATGCACACATGCCACCACAGCACTCCTCATGCACACATGCCACCACAGCACTCCTCATACACACATGCCACCACAGCACTCCTCATACACACATGCCACCACAGCACTCCTCATACACACATGCCACCACAGCACTCCTCATACACACACGCCACCACAGCACTCCTCATACACACATGCCACCACAGCACTCCTCATACACACATGCCACCACAGCACTCCTCATGCACACATGCCACCACAGCACTCCTCATGCACACATGCCACCACAGCACTCCTCATGCACACATGCCACCACAGCACTCCTCATGCACACATGCCACCACAGCACTCCTCATGCACACATGCCACCACAGCACTCCTCATGCACACATGCCACCACAGCACTCCTCATGCACACATGCCACCACAGCACTCCTCATACACACATGCCACCACAGCACTCCTCATACACACATGCCACCACAGCACTCCTCATACACACATGCCACCACAGCACTCCTCATACACACATGCCACCACAGCACTCCTCATACACACATGCCACCACAGCACTCCTCATACACACATGCCACCACAGCACTCCTCATGCACACATGCCACCACAGCACTCCTCATGCACACATGCCACCACAGCACTCCTCATGCACACATGCCACCACAGCACTCCTCATACACACATGCCACCACAGCACTCCTCATGCACACATGCCACCACAGCACTCCTCATGCACACATGCCACCACAGCACTCCTCATACACACATGCCACCACAGCACTCCTCATACACACATGCCACCACAGCACTCCTCATACACACATGCCACCACAGCACTCCTCATACACACATGCCACCACAGCACTCCTCATGCACACATGCCACCACACTCCTCATGCACACATGCCACCACAGCACTCCTCATGCACACATGCCACCACAGCACTCCTCATGCACACATGCCACCACAGCACTCCTCATGCACACATGCCACCACAGCACTCCTCATGCACACATGCCACCACAGCACTCCTCATGCACACATGCCACCACAGCACTCCTCATACACACATGCCACCACAGCACTCCTCATACACACATGCCACCACAGCACTCCTCATACACACATGCCACCACAGCACTCCTCATACACACATGCCACCACAGCACTCCTCATACACACATGCCACCACAGCACTCCTCATACACACATGCCACCACAGCACTCCTCATGCACACATGCCACCACAGCACTCCTCATGCACACATGCCACCACAGCACTCCTCATGCACACATGCCACCACAGCACTCCTCATACACACATGCCACCACAGCACTCCTCATGCACACATGCCACCACAGCACTCCTCATACACACATGCCACCACAGCACTCCTCATACACACATGCCACCACAGCACTCCTCATACACACATGCCACCACAGCACTCCTCATACACACATGCCACCACAGCACTCCTCATGCACACATGCCACCACAGCACTCCTCATGCACACATGCCACCACAGCACTCCTCATACACACATGCCACCACAGCACTCCTCATGCACACATGCCACCAC